AGTGCACGTGCATACCTTCATAATTCTCGCAGCCCGATTCTCTTTATCGCTGCTATCTGGTAACCAAGAATCGATAAAGTCCTCGTAAATTGTGCCAGCCACTGTATTCAAAGCAGCGCTCATCGTCGAGAGGCCGGCACTGACGAGACCAGCAAGAAAAAGGCCTGGAAGTCCTGGAATATTCGCGGCGACGTCTAACACGTAATACGGAAGTAATTGATCGCTCCTAGAAATTACCTGGAAACCAATTTATTGACTTTATTGAGAACAGAGAACAGGACAATTAAGTCTCTAACCGGAAGTAACGAAGAAAAAGGATACACACGTGTGTACTTATAGGATCGCACTTGTGATACCTGGCGTACATTATAAGTCCCGTGAATACCGACACCCATTTTATTATCACAATGCTTATCCCCATGGACGCCATTACCCTAGCAGAAGGAAATCGAGGTTCGTTACACGTTTCCCTTACTCTTTAAATGCGATAGCATGTAATAACGGCACCGAATATGAAAATCCATAGTATTTTCATGCAGAAGTACCTTATTAGTCAGCAAATACTGCAATTTTTATAGTCATTTACATAGGAATTTTTTCAGTTTTTTTTTTTATTAATTTCTAGCCTTATTATTTCATTTGTCCCTGATGAATGGAATTATTTTATGTGTTCCTGGTGAACAATGAGTGAAATGTATTAAATTCATAAATACTGTGGGTGCTGCTGATATTACCTTTTATATCCACCAAAACAATAAATAAAAGTAACTTTTAAATTTTAGTAATTTCAATATTAAACGGTTCTATATTAGAGATAACATTATTGTAAATTTTATCTGTGAAATCATTATGTCCTTTTAAATATGCATAGACGAACGACAAATGTAATAACGCGAGAACTTTTATCGTTTTTTTCTTTTTGCCTGCTCCTCCGATATTTAATCAAACGAAAATAGGGACTCATATTCGGCACCGTTGCTCTAATACTTACTTATGCGCTTCCTTAATGTTCGGCACAGACAAAAATCTTTGCACGGACGATTGATTAATGCCCAATCCTGTTAACCACGTTATCGTCATTCCGACTGACATTCCCCAGAATGAGTTTCTAACAAACGGGCTAGGGTCCATGCTGCAACGTGATAAAATAAAACCGTAAATCAAAAACTATCCCACGTCCCGCTACGTTTGAGGCTTAATAGACACTCGTACTTCCAAAAAACTATTCTGCTACCCTCTTCCGATAGTCTCCAAACCTCGGATACACCGCCCACGGCCATGGTACCCAAAACGAACACGGCAAACAAACTTCCCAAGGTTACAATCATTTGAATAGTGTCCGCCCAAACGACAGCTTTCAATCCTCCCTGAACGTTTTACGAAAGAGATAAATACACTGTCAAAACGAACGTATTAGCAGCGCGTATTATTATTTACGATTCATCGGTGATATTATCTATGTAATCGTTGTAGTTGCCACCATATAATATCCGTGTAATCGTTATAATCGCCAGCGGTATCTAGCGATTTTGCAAGCAGTGTAAACATTTGACAAAAATCGACCCGCTATGAAAACAACTGTAATTCCATTTTATTCGATATCTTCCGTTACGATTTGCTCTCCTACCATAGTCTCTTGTGTGCGATAATATTAGACGTAGACAGATAGATGATGCTCGTAAATATCGCATTATCATCTACTGTCATTTCGAGTCATTCACTTTCGACTGACGGAAACTGATCTTCCTTTTTTTCCTTCCTCTATTTCATCTAGTTTAACCCATTAAAACGCAGCAACAGTTCAATTGTCATTTTCTTTCGCAGTCAGTTTACATTGCCGGTCAGAAATCTCAGAACATTTTGTACTTTTAATTCAATTTTTAGTACTTTTTAATATATGATAGTTAATATTATGTTATTGTATTGCTATGATAATGTATTGATTTTAGTATTCGTTATTTTATATAAAGTAACATTTAATTTTAAGACTTTCGATGTCGCAGAAATATGGATGCCTAAAGATCATTCAATGTCATTTAGTTTTAGAAAACAAAAATATACGAAAAATCATTGAAATTTCTAAAAATGTATCCTCTTTTAAAATTTCCGTGAAAAATTTCGAATTGATTATCTTCATTACTCCGATGTTGGAGATGCTCGAGATAAATCCACCAAGATGTTGAGCAAATCCATTATTCAGAGTCACGGAATCAAGGCGAAATCGGCGCAAGTTTAATTATTATTCAAGATTGAGTCAAAATCACTTTAAACATTTCAAATGTAAATGAAGAAATCTGATATTAATGAAATTTTGAAATTCAATATGCGCCATTATTGATACATAAATCTATCTGACGTTAAGTGAAATGGACTTGGAACGATCATTAAACGTGACCTCTGGGAAAATCATTGAATATCCGTTACTGAATTTTTCCTCAAACGTGAATGACTTGAATGGCCGAAAATTTTCAGTCTGACGATACTTAAGATCTATTTTAAAAAACGAATTATAATCAGAGTAACTTACGATGGTCGTGTAGAATGTGCATACGATGCAGATTATCGGAGTAAGCAAGTAGAGATTGATCGATGTTGCCTGCGAAAATGCTAGCGCTGGTACGTATATGATCAAAGGGACGTAAATGATCAAAGAAAATGTATAAAGAAACGAGGCGAATAATCGGACGGACCTCGTGAATCTCAGTTCCAGGTATTCAAACGAGCTGGTCGTTTGTAATTTATAAAATACCGGTATGTAGATAAGCGATACGAGAGTACACGTTATAAGCGATGTAAAAATACAGACAGCGTACTGTGTACCATATTGATATACCTCGACGGGTATGGCGAGCAAAGAGACTGCCGATATGTGACTGAAATAAATTAAAAAGACCAGTTTCTAACTTTAACATCGTAAAAGAATTGTCGAATCAATTTTCATCGATTTGATGCACTTTAGAAAAAAATACTTTCGACAACGTTTTACCTGGCAACCAAACTCATGCTAACTGGGAAACAGGACATCGTCTTTCCTCCGAGCAAATACTCAGTAGTGTTGTCCTGTTTTTTGTCGAAAAAACCAAAATAAATCCCTATGAGGACACTGATCCCTAAGAGACCGCTGAACAATGTGTAATCGGTCCATCCAAATGTAAATTGCTTCAGTTCTGTTCCGAGCAATGTTTCGTTCTCTGCCATTCTAAAATTAATGAAATCGAAATTGAAGATTAACTCACGATGAAAGAAGACAGTGTTGATTCGGCCACTTTCATTCACGGCGATTGAAACTATTATTGATCAGCTATCGAAATTAACAAAATTACTTCACTTTTTCTTTCATTTACAATAAGGTAATCCCCGATCGACGAAGTTCAATATTTGGCACACTTACGTTTTGATTTTTTTTTATTTTTGTTGCTCGTTATCAAAGAAACGGATTCATCAATATGTAAATCAATAGTTGAAATCTAGGCTGCTAATTTAGCGGATTTCTAAAAGGCGTCACTAATGGCCAATCTATAAATATTAAATACAGCAATTTCATAAAAGCTTGGAAAAGTACTCGATGCGAGCTACATTCCTACTAATAATGATAACGTTCAGCTCAATGCTATATGTTCAGCTCATTTTGCACGAATATCAGTCTAATTTACGATAGGTAGATAAAGTTCCGTCTTTCGTAATATTCTGTAAACAGATGAGTATCCTTAAACCAGTCTGCCAGTTGAATCTTCAGTTCTTCGGTTACCGATATCATTACCATTTTGTTTGTCAAAAATCTACCAAGAATTTTCATCCGTCATATATCCCTCATGCTCTAAGGCAGCAATGACGACGAATGTTAGATCAAACGGCTGGGTCCTGTCAATACGGACAAAAAAAAACTGTGCTCGCGAATAGAAAAGATATGAAAATACGAGCAATAAATTCCTCGGACGCTAAACAAACATTGCTCCTATCTAGAAAGAAATAGTTCAGTCGAACGAAAGATTACATATTAATGTAATACTACGTAGTAAAGAGAGAGAATACCAGGATTAACGTTTATAAGAATCTGTATATATTTTTCTGTTCTTTATATATAATTATACAGTGTTAGGTGTTCCATACAACAACCATTCTGTTAACTCCTGTAGTTTTTGTTGTCTCTCTATGTCGGTACAATTTCCTAGCAGATTATCTAAAATTTTCTTTTCCTCGAAATCCAGTTCCTCTATTGGATTCAAAGGTTTAGTGACCATGCTTGGAAGCGTAACGTCGTAATAAAGAAAAATCTGTAAATATTGGTTACTTATTAACATTACTTGTTAATCTAGTTGCTCGTTACAAATAATAAACTTTACCTTGTTATTAAAACTGTTATATACTAGGCAAGGTGTTGGAAAACCAGGAGTAACATTATAGTTACCAGTACAAAATGCTCTAACTGGTTCTTCAAATTGAAAACGTACGCTATTGCGTTGTTGATCTAAGATGTAAGTTTGCCCATCCCATGCGCAAGCTACTATCTCGTCAGAACCGTCACCAGTTACGTCTAAACGACATAAAGCGAATATCTGATGATCTACTTGCATCGACCTAAAAAACAATGTGTAACTTATAGATTATATTATATATATATATATATATATATATATATATTTATTTATTTATTTAGTTATTTA